AAGGTTAAAAGTTTTGATTTTATTGGCAGTTTTGTTGCTAATATTCGCAAAAATAATCCAAAGATTATCTTTATAACTGGAGCTATTGCGATGGGAAAGACAACCTTCACATAGGAGCTTTCAAATTACCTTACTGAAAAGGGAAAGCATGTTATATTACACAGAGAAGTTGCACGAAATCTTGATATCTATCCATTTTTCTTTCAATATGTGATAATTAATATATATTTTTTTGAAATAAATGAAATTAAGCAATTAGGACAGGATTATGATTACATTATTCTCAATAGAAGTTATCTTGATACATTTATATTTACAAAGGTCACTATTTTTTATGGAGATAGTGAATTATTGAATATTCTCGATCAACGTTTAGGAAAGATAGAATTTCTATTTGAGGTGAAAAAGATGTTTTATTTGAAACCCTTTATGGATAACATGTTAAGATGCTATAAAATTTATAAGGGTGAGGATGAAATTGATGGGGTTGATTCAAGTGATAATAATGAGTATCTTAAAATAATTTATAATTTTTATGAAAATTATATTGATGAAATTTATTCTAATTATGAAAAAATTGTAAATGATGGTGAGGGTTATGAAAAAATCTTAAATGAGCTTATCATTTGAATTTTTTATAAAAAAATAAATAAAAAAATCTCATCCAGTGATTTAGTCACCAGGTGAGAAAAGATCTGCATAAAGATATTCGATAAAATATTACGTGAGATATTATTGATTAGCAATAGTGATTATAATGGTAAACAATTTTATTTCCTTTCTATTGATATTTATGAGTCTACTGAATATGGAACTGGCAAATACATATTGAGATTACATAAAATTTTGACAAATGATCGAAAATTAAAAGTGGATGTATGTGGAATCAAGTCATTTTTTGATATTCTTGTAGATGAAATTGATGCAAATCAATTGGTACCAGAAATTGAGTATGACTCATATGAATTAATTCAAGCAAAACCGATTATGCCCTTTTATGCGAACATGAGAAGATTCTTTCACTTTTATTTTAAGAATCATATTGTTCGATTGGAACAGTTGAGAAGAGTAAAGGATAGTTATTTAACATATTTTAATGATCTCACATTTTATTATCACAAGATTTTAAGAAAATGTGAGTTAGATGTAACACAATGGCACGTGGTTAATTCAAGCAGATTGATATATGGAGACAACAAATATCGAAAAGTGTTAAGAGTTTATCATGATAAAATTTGAAAGTGATGATATATCTGTAAAGAATCGAATATTAATTTTATATTGGGATATTGAAACTTATAGTTCACATGAGGGGTGAAATTCCAAAGTCTAAATATGAAAGTGATAAAGTATTTATGATATGTATAATGATACATTGATATAATGAAATGAACCTTTTCAAAAAATTTGTTTATGCACTCAAGACTTGAATACAAATGAGGATTAGATGTTTAAGAAATTAAATTCTCAAGAAAAATTGATTCTCGATTTTGCATATTGCATAAAGGCAGTTAATCCAGATATAATAATTGGATTCAATAATAATGGATATAATTGGTCATTTATTCTTAAGAAGGCTGAACAGTTTGACATATTAAGAGAATTTTTAATATGATGGAGAAAAAAAATTTAGTGAAAGTTCTCTTAAGAATGCGAAGTTCAATATTCACGAAAAGTGCATTAAGATTATACCTCAGGATGGCATGAAAATGATGTATTTCAGAAAACCAAAGGTTTTGATGATAGATGTAATGGTGTCGTGTAGAAAAAGATATCCCAATTCTGAGAAAAATTTATTCTCATATTTTTTAGAGATAGCAAATCTTGAATCTTTCTCATTTGATTTTGAGAAAATATTATTATGATGCCAAAGAGGAAATTACAGGTTCCAAAAAGTCGAAAGATAATATTGGTAAGATAACAAAGTACTATATGATAGATGCCAAGTGATGTCAGGAATTAATAATTAAGTTTAATGTAATTGATTCATATTGAAAAATGTTAAACATATCTTATGTATCAATATTTGATTCTTATTGTTATGCTGGAGGCATCAAAGTATGCAATTTACTTGATGTGGTTGCACGAAGAATGAATATCTTAATTAATATGATTTGTGATGAAAATGTGGAGGATGGAAAATATCCAGGCACTTATATATATGAACAGAATAAAGGGTTAAATATTAGAAGACCAGTTACCAGATTAGATTTTGCCCAAGTCTTATGATGACATATAATTTATCACTCAAAAAAATAATTGTAAGTAAGATAGAGCATGATAGATATGCATTGATGAAATATAAATTTTATAAAATTTACTTCATATTTAATAAAAGAGGTATCGAGGCATGGTCTATAAGGCATTAAAATGAAAAAGAGCATATGGGACTATACGTGATTGTTCAAAAATATCTGAAAGATAAATGCAGTGAGATGAAGTTAAAAATGAAAAAGTTTGATATAATTTTGAAGAAAAAGAGATTGAATAATGAATATGATAAAGAATATAAGAATCTCAAATTTCAATATGATCAAATGAATCTTGAACAATTAGTATTTAAGGTTTATATGAATAGTTTTTATGGAGAAGCTGGTAATCCATTATCATCTTTCTTTATGCATGAATTAGCTAGCACTGTAACATTATTTGGACAATATGATATCAAGATGATTTCAAATTACGTACAAGGATTAGAATTTAAGATTCAGTATAGAGATACAGATTCATTATATCTTACTTGTCCCAATACATATTACAAAGAACAGGATATAAAATATCAATCAAAAGAATGTGGAAAAAAGGAATATTGAACAGGGATGGTTGAGATTACTGTACAATGAACATAATGAATAATCTTTGTGAAAAAGTCAAGGAATACTTGTATCATGGTAACAGAATCCAGTTTCTTAATATGGCATATGAAGAGGTTTTCTTTTCCATAATGTTTACTAGCAAAAAAAAATATTTTGATATTAAACATATTAATATGATCAATTTTTGACCAAAAAAATTATTTATTTGAGGAATTGATATTGTGAAGAAAGAAAAATTCAAATATTACAAGAATATATGTAAAAAAGTGATGATGAAAATTATGGATATTGATAATTAAAAAGATGTTCTCAAAACTGTGAAATTAATAATTGAATAGTATATGAAGAATAGTTATAATGATATGAGCGTATTTGCATTATCTGCAACATATTGACCTATAAAACAAAATATATCAGTAAAAGAATTTGTGAATCATATTGTTATCGTCACCGGCGAGTTTGTCGCTAAAACGGTTCACTCTTTGCGTGACGATAGTTCGAACGCTTGGATTTCGGCACTAAATAAGGTAAGGCTTTAACTCTGAGGCAGTTACAATTTGGCCGACTTGCGCACTTGCTAATCTCTTCTTGACCGTCTTTTCCTCTAGGCGCGTCTCAAGACTACAAGTGTCACTTTTACAGTGCAAAAGATAACGTCGCGTTTTTTCCTTCTTTAAGGCATTTACTTTAATGTAGTGGAGTGAACTTCGTGTACACTTTAAAGAATATATCTTGTTTATTGTGCAAAACGAGATAGCGTTTATTTTATTAAACGCTGAGTGTGCAAAAATAAAGAAGCGTTCTGAAAACGAAACTTTAAAATCACGGAATTCGAACTCCCCTTTCCAAACTACATAAACTACCTATTTATATGCCTTCCTGACGCGTGTTTACCCAGTACCCGCTATTACCAATTATTACATCATTCCACCATCACCAATACTTATTATTGCGCGACACATCACAATATCGTGTTCCTATCCTGATTGTTCCCACAACATTCCTCCATGCTTATTTTATATGCCACGCGTATAAACCTCAATCACAATCTCTCTTTTCATAATACTTCTTTAAAATCTTCGTGTTGACTGGACTGGCTATCACCCGCCCCTCCATCATTCGTAACTTGTAAGTATCACCCAATAATTGTTCATGAATGTAATATGGGCCCCGCCATTTTGGTCCGAATTTATTACTCCGAGACTATTCTAGTGTGGCTTGATACATTAAAACCTTATCGCCAATATCATACCCCGGAACCGTCTTGTGCTACGCATCATAATAGACCTTTTGCCTTTCTTGTGCCTTTCATACTTGTTCAACCACTCTTTCTCGATTCTTAGGTAAGGCATCGGTTAGTTCAAATAATCTTTGCATGAATGTTTCTTCCAAACCTTCCTCGGTTCGGCTGGGATGTAGCGGTTGCCGAGCTTCACGACCATAGACTAAGTAGAATGGGGACATCTTTGTGGTGAAGTGCTTTGCCATTCTGTACACAAATAAAATAGGGGAAACCAACAAATCCCACTCAGTCATGTTCTGCACCAGTTTAACGATTGATTCACACAAGGTGCGATTGAATCACTCTACCAGCCCATTTGTCTGAGGGTGGTACAGTGTGGACAGTCAATGTTTTACGCATAGCTTCTCTGTCAATTCTTTTAACACGTTATTTCTAAAGTGTATAACACAGTCTGTGAGTATTCGCTCCAGGCAGCCGTGACGACAGATAATTTTGTCATACAGAAAATCTGAGACGGTTTGCGCATCGGCTCTCTTCACAGCTCTCACCTCGGGCCACTTCGTCATATAATTCATAGTGACTAAGATGTACCTATTTCGACGAGGGGTGCTAGGGAGGGGTCCTACAAAGTCGATACCAACCTGACTAAATGGTGCTTCCACAGGTATCGGTCGCGGCGGCCCTGGCGCACATTCCCAACCCCGACATTGACACTAATCACATGTCTATACATATGTCCGAATGTCACCAATCATTTGTGGCCAAAAGTAAACTTCCTTCATCTTACTAATCATTGCTTCTTTACCGAGATGGCCACCCAGCGGATACGTGTACATAAGGAATAAGACCAATTCCACTTCGTGTCGTTGTAACACGTGTAATAGACGCCCTTTCTTTCTTCGGTCCTTCATGTACATCATCCCATCCTTAAATACGTACTGTCAACTCTTTTCAAGCAACCGTTGTTTGTCCCGACTAGTCATACTTTCTGGCATTTCTCTTCCTTGTAGAAGGCTTCTTAGCTTGCTATACTGCATCGCGTCCATCGTCGTTTCATGTAAAGAGATAAGGAAATTCTTGCAAAGAAATAAAATAAAGAGGAAACAAAGGACGCCTCCGATTTTGAATTGTGACACAACTTCTTGTGTCTGCAACTTTCGTCACTGCTCGTGATGTCATCATCAAAAAAAAAAAATTTTTTTTTTTTTTTTTTATTATTATTATTATTTTATTTTTTTTTTTTTATATTATTTTTTTTTTTTGCTATGAGACTCTAGTCAGAAAGACTAGAGACATGATAATGCGTCGGCGTTATTATGCTTTTTCCCCTTTTTATGCACGATCGCAAAATTAAATGGTTGTAAACGCAATATCCACCGTACTCGTCTTCCGGAGAGTTTTGACGTTTGTAGCCATTTTAATGCAGCGTGATCGGTCACTAC